TGAGTCAAACTGTGTCAGAACATCCAGCAACATCTAAGAAAACAGTGTGAAGCAGTTACTGTCGACCATTCACCTCAGGCTTCACATAAACAAACGTCTCGGAAAAAAAAGGATACACACTGTCTTACAATCTATCAAACACACACACACACACACAAAATTATCTCATATGGCATATCTATCCAAACAAACAGCACATGCTCTTTGTCTTTTATAACAAACACAGTCAGTGTTATTATCTCGTAACACAAACATGGAGAGCCTGAGAGCGAGGGCGAGGAGGAGGAGGMGACGTGGCGTTTTTCATTTCTGCAACGACCTCCTCCTCAGTATGGGACGTCCGTGACAAAAGTCAGATTAGGTCCAAACCCGAGTTTCCCACTGCGCTCTAMACCTCTCACCCTGCAGCTGCGACTTGCTGCCGTCACGTGACGGCTGTCGGAACAAAATGCTGACAATAACTCCGCTGCTTGTCGGTTCAGTCGGCGCTGAACTTCAGGGAATTTTCCTTCAGATGTGACTGTTTCCATGTTAGCATACCTCCACTGAGTTAGGTTGAGAAAATGAGAAATTTATTTTCTAAACAACTTTTGTATTTTTAGACCGGAATGTGGCGGTTCKTTTCCAGGAATTTACAGTTCAGTGGGAGAAATTAAACTTCTAGGTTTGATTTATTTTTTATTTGCTTCCTGTCTCCAAACCGTGCACTTGGCTGTTCTATTATAAACTACCTATACACATAGATTTAACTTCTGGTGGCTAAAATAAATGACTGTGATATCATAATTTAAAGGCATTTAAACTCAACTAAATTCAAGATKGCTAAAGATGAASTAGCCAAACAGTCAATGTGGGTGTGATATTCCTAACATCATCTGAACACCAACAGATCATATGAGATTTATTTATTAGGTTTTATTTAAGGACCTACTTGGCGTGAAACATCAGCGCTAACCACTGAKCCATCATGTAGCCCAATGTGATAACTTTGTTTTAAAGACATTGGCGTCTGCAGCTCCACTATAAATAACGAGTCATTAAACTAGAGCACATTCTTTCCCCATTTAAACTGTTCAGTTTCACTGATCCAGAGGTCAAGGACGTCTGACTCTTTTGTTGAAACCCATTGAGCTACCTTTCAACTCAACATAGATGTGAWGTCTTTTTTTTATCCAAGTTATCAAAGATCTTTCCAAATAAGTCAAAAATATTTTACTCCTTCACTGAGATATATTTGTTAGAAAGAAAAACTGTGGCTTAATTTTGTTATAAATTCTAAATTTTGTGCTGACAGGTGCTTAAAGGCCTAGCATTCCTTCAAAGAATGTTTTTCATACCAGAGTTATAAACTAAGATCMTCTTATGTTGAGAAACCACTGAATTATAGTCGTTTTGGTTAAACTTTGAGAAMATGTTGCAAGATCTCAAAAAATAGTGCAGGACTTGTTCAAAGTATCTCCCAATCTTGGAGGCCTCTAAAAACTAAAAAATTGTAGATTGACATCTAATTATTACTTTGAGACCTTAATCAAGTAACTGTTTTGTGTTTCATTAACAGATAATTTATGTAAACACAGACATAAGCAAAAATATTCGTGCCCAGCTTTCACCTTTTAACAGCAGGAGAAAAAAACTAAACTAGCCCTTTGTGAATGGATTTTATTAGCCTGATAAAAGTCAGCTTGTTGTTCGCTTTAATTCATACAGAGAGTCTGGACTCTCTGCTATTGAGAAACAATCACTTGCTGGAGGCGTGGCCTCTGTTGAAGTTTAAAACTATTGGATYTGATTTACCCAMTCGCTAATGTTTGTGACGCAGTGCGCCAGYTCAACCGTGAAGGAGGCTAASCTAAGAAGCTAACCAGAAATTGCATGCGCTGTGAACAACCAYCCCCTATACTGGGAAGAGAGAAGTACCGAGTCGAAAGAGKTTGCTGTAAATGGTTCTGTAGGCTTTGTGAGACAAATTTAATTTAATTTGGAAGCCTTGTCGACACGGACTGGCTTCATTCACTTCMTCTGCTAACTTTGCTAAACTACAGTTAGACTAAAACGGCGCAGAAAACAGACATCGTCGTTCAGAACTCGACCTTCTGTTCACTGATTGGCCCAGTTGAAATTCTACCAGAGAAATCCAAGTCAGTGGGAGAAATCCCAGATGGAGCAGAAAAGGGARATCAGAATCAAGCAGAAATGTGCAGGAAGRCTAGAATTTTATGGATTCTTTGACATACTTCTTTGCATACTGGGTCATATTTGCCCCAAACAAAACAAACAAGCAAACAAACAAAAAAGAAAACATGATCCAAATTAGGAGTGGGCAATATATCGAGTATAACAGATAAAATGYAAGTTTTCCCTGTGCTAGTTTATATATTGCAAATAAAGTATACATTTTATTGGCTTTTTATAATTCACTTGGAGTTCAGCTTTTCCCAGGCACTTCTAATGCATCACAACTCCTTTTCCTTTCAACCCTAAAATCCTCCCACAGTCATCTAGAAAGTCTTTATGAGCTGGACTGATTAAAAGTTACTTTAGCTGTTGGATTATGAGAGGAACATTGTAGAATTTGTTGTAATGGAGCAGAGATTAGGGGTCAAGGGTTTTGGAGTATAGTGTTGGATTAAATAAAAAAAGAAAAATACTACAATATATATTGTAAATCACAATAAAGCTCCAAAATTTTGTGTATTGGGATTTTATGGTTAAGTCACTCAGCACTAATCCTAACTTATTAAAACCAAATGAGTGTTTGTGTGCAACCCAATATTTTCAGTTGATTTAAATAAAATCTTTTTGTCATTTATAATTAAATGCATTCTGCAATACAGGTTAAAGTTTATTCTTAATGGTTTAGATTATTGTGATTTTATTATTATTCACTCAGGCGAGACCACAAAGGCGCCACTGATTATTAAGATGTACGTTTCCTCAAACAGTTTACAGTTCTTGATCCAGTGTTTTGACGAGGAACACAAATTTAAAAACACGAACAGGAAGTTGTGAGCAGTGATGTAGTTCAGGCTTTAATAATGTCTCCCCGGGGAGGTGAGGGTTAGCAGAAAGGATATACAGAAGCTTTCGTGTCAGCCTGTGTGTTTATGTACCTTATTGAGCCGCTAAATAAGACCGGATCCTGGAGGATGATGGAGAGTCGAGACCTGAGAGTCTGCAGAGGGAGCTTACAGATATCGATGCCGTCAATGACGATCTTTCCTGCAAACGAGCAAACGCAAAATCTTCACACAACATGCTAAACTAAACAAGTGAAATTAACTATTCTTCGATAGATTTAGTAAATAAACTGGCTTTGACTTCTTTGTGTCTGTTTCCTTCAGCTGTGAATAAAAACTGATGTACAGCTTCTGGACCTTGTGGGTCACTGGTTCTGGTGTCAGGTTTTATTTCTGGTTAGTGTTTGTACCTACTCTCCCAACCCTTCAGAGGACCAGATTGTTTGATGGTTTAAGCCTGGTTTATACTTCAAGCTTCATGTCTTGTAGAAGTATAAACCAGTCTTTAACTGTTTGTTTCACACTCTTAGCTAAAATGCTAAAAGACAGCTAAACCTATATTTCCTCACTATTTATTTCTGTGTCAACTAGTTGTTGTTATTTTGTTTCTCTTCATTAATAGCTGTATAAATGAGAATATACCAATGGTATAATTCCAAAAAAAAGGACATGGCAAGTCATCCAGCATTACACAACAATTATTATGAATATCCATGCTCTATGATAAAATGTATCAAATTAGACAATGCAAAGAGCCATACATACAAATTAAATCTCTGTAATAGGACAAGGATATAAATGCTGCAGATAAATGTTTTATAAAGATAAAGCTGAGTTTTAGCTTTGGACTTTTTACCAGCTGCTGGATACAGAAAATCATCAACTTGAATTCCTAAAGTCCCGTCTCGTCACACTGTTCATTTTGCTCTTCAAGCATACCCAGAACGTCATGTGGGTCCAAACTTGAAGAAGTGAGTACTGTGGAAGAACTGCTCATGCTACATAGCATTAGCACAACAGCATCGTYGTTGCTGGTGAAGCTTTTTGCTCTTACTGGAGATCTTGTTGCAGCTTGTTTGTCRCGTCCAAACATCAATATAAAGGAGAGGATGGGGGTCATTTTATGAGCTTTAAATGTCAAAGGAAGTTGTGCAACTCTTGCTGTTAAAGTGTATCTTACCCCCCTGTAAAAAGATAACTCCACCCCA